ACCTCTCTGCATCCTCCCACTTGGAAGGTACGGTCCTTCCACTATAATAAGGCAGCAACGCGTTGTTCAATTGCCTCCTATTAGCACTGGAATGCAATGGAATCCGCTCTGAACTCCATCCCTTCTGAATGCCTACACTCGAATAACGGTTGTTGGGAGTATTGGGACTAGGGAATACACCAGCTCTGGGAGTAGTGATGAATGCCTTTTTCATAACTCCAAATCTTGGAGAGGAAGAGTTTGCAGCATTGGTCATAGAGGTGTTCATGTCTAGTGAGGCATGCCTTCGCCTGTCTGGCTTGTTGAGTAAAGCTCCAGATTTAAACCTCCTATCTTGACACTCTAACAATTTAAAAATAAGAAAAAGGTGTTAGACATAGCTCCAGTTCTAGAATTCCATCTGATGTAATGTGTGGCCAGTACCCTTAAGAGCTTGAGAGAATGAGTTTCTTGCAGAATCTAAAGCTATATTTTCATCCTCTGTCTCAACCTCACTGTTTTCTGCTACCTGAACTGAAAAATGACACCTCACAGTCATCAAATATTCCAAATCAATAAAAAAATGTAGATTGCATGTTCTTCTGGCCTTCGAATATGAAAGTATGATAATACTGTATAATAGAAGCAAGATACCTTTTGCCATTTCTTTTCTGCTATGGTGAGCATTGTGGCCTATTCTGTATGGACAGCGTGAAACCTCCTGGAGCTCATGTCCTGCAAAATGCTGGTTCAAATAAAGATTCAAATTCTTCGAACATGCAGAACTTTCAGAGTCGTCATTTACATTTTAAGATGACTTGTTTTCTCGCAATTAAAGTCAGCAGACAACAAAATCCATGTTCATTGCCGTATATAAGTCTCTTAATAACTCCTAATTGCACTTTTCAAAGAAAAACGAGCAGAGATGTGTAATCACTTCGCACATAAAAGCAAACAGATACGTACATGCAAGTCCAGGGACTATAGTGTGTGTGTGTGAGAGAGAGGGAGAGAATAAACATAGAGAGCACATTTCGATTCAACAAGCTAAAATGAAGTATGATGAACCAGATCCAGAAGGGGTTACGAATTGATTTATCTTAAATCTGATTGTGACTTCAAATGGAGCTCATAAGAGGAAATTTCACTTGCATTGGCTAGAGAACAGCAAAATGCACATACGTGTGTTCAATTCATTAGTCAATGAAATGAGATAGTATGTGTAATTACAGGCTGAGAAGTATCAGAAAAGCATGAATCTTCATGGTCGTGAGCATCAGATGCGAAGGAACAGCGGTCTACACTAGCTGAAGCAGATGAGAATATGCTCAAGTTGGAGTCGGCTGTGAAGATGGCGGAGTCCGGACTTACATCCCTGGCCAGGATGCCCGAAATCTGATCATGAAACCCTAGCTCCGGCATTGCCGAACTGGCTTCAAATCTTTGAGGGAGTCAAGACATTGCAGTCCAAATTGATATTCCGTGCATAGATTGAGCGCTGAACAGATACTCATAAATGGAGACATGGAGTACGAACTACTACATACGAAGTACTAGTATATTTTATTCTTTTTCACGAGAGGGAAGAGTGATAGAGAAGCCTGTTTTTATTTTATTTTATTTTATTTTATGCTCTGTTTTGTTTTTACATTTCGTTAGACAGACATAAATAATAATGTAATATGTAAATACACACATTTTATACGGTCAACGCCTGAAAAATAGGTTATTACTCTCATTCGATATGCCGAAATTATTTAAAATAATTTGTGGAGTATATGGCTCAGGAATCTCCGGCCCACATACTTTCACTATTACATTCAGGTCCAACAGGTCTAAAACGGGTCAAGCCCAGCATAATGAAGTTATAGGCAGCCCACGAAGCATGAAGGGGTCCCTTCGGTCCCATAGCCGAAGGCCACCGATGACAGAATAGGACTCAGAAACATCGCAGGAGAACAAGGCTTAAAAACCAAGCCTTCTGCACTAGGAGCCCTCGCCAATATGGACCCCCGACACGAAGAACCTTCGGCCTTTCATCTACAGCCGAAGGCATCCCATTCGACAGGAACTCTCATCCACATGCGCTGGATCAACGTACCAAGTACAAACGTCACATCCAATCACCGCATTTAATGCGGGCACATGCGAATGCCAATGTCACCCCGGTTGAGATGACCCCTCGACAACCAGATTGTTGACATGTGTCCCTATCTAACATTTATTGCTGCTATAAATAGCACCTAATTCCCCATTTGTAAACCACGCTCAATACAACTCCAATACACACTTGAACTCTTTATCTCTCTTACTTATTTGCTCTGACTTCTCTCTAAGTTACTCCCCGCAGTAACCCCTCGGATAAGCTACCCTCTGGTACACTATTCATCAATAATATTAGAACTTGAAAATATATTTTTAAAATTTCAAAACCAAGATATAGATTTCATGATATGTGTTAATGAGTTAATTGACTAATTGATAGGTTTGGCGTACTCCAAGTAATAGCTCTGAAATTTGTGCTTGTTCCAAGTGCAACTTCATTTGTCAATACAACGGTACTTCTTTATGTTATGTTAGACCGATGTGAGCTAACATAAATTAATGTTTGAGCATATTAGACATTTTAAATGATTTTTTTGATTTTTTTCATGTTCATTTTCGTAAATTATGCATTCATATATCTTAAAATGTCATATTCATGCATATTGGTGCAATGTTCAATTACATTTTTTTAAATGAACAGTATATTTTTTATATTGGTGTACCGCTCATTTTAAAATGTCATATCCATGCATATTGGTTTAATGCTCAATTTAAATTTTTTAATGTTGATTTTGTAAGTTTTTTTAAATCTAATAACTAATTTATTCATTAAATGATAGCAAAGAAACACGTGATTGAATAGTCTAATGCTACAATGGGAATAGACATAAAACATAAAGGATTCCACGAATTGTTCCAGATCGTTAATCCCTCAATAATGTAGTTTAGTCTAACCGTCTAGCACACAAGGGTTTAAATCTCAATGGAGTGAGTTTCACCTCTAATTACTTCACCCCTCAGACCCCCTCCCCTAGACCCCCTGGAGTAAATATATATACATCCAATTTCACCGACTAACGAAAAAAGGGAGAATTGGTTTGACAAACAACCAACAAAGGAAATCCAAACAACTAGAAATTGGTTGAATCATCGATTTGACCAGCCATCGAAAAAGATGTCCATTTGATCACTAACTTTCTCTCCATTTGATCACTAACTTTCTCTCTTAGAAGAAGGGTGGGTATTTGAAACTTCAAAAGAACTAGATTGAACTCGTCTTGCCAAATATGAGCAATGAAATTTCACCACTCGATCGGCTACACCGACGAGGAACACGTTGCCCGCCCATAGAATGTGTCAAACCAAACTACACTAGAAGGTAAAAATTAAAAAAGAGAGCCAACAAAGCAAAATTTTTTATTCATTACTATCCACAGAAATCACAATCATCAAAGACTCTTGTCAATCAGATAAGAGAATCACACTAAAGTTTAAATTGTAGATTTATCAGAATTAAAATAAATGAATAATTAAATACTGTAGAATCACACTTTTCCATGTTTTTAGCAAAAACATAATTATGTCAAATACGAATACTCATCTAAATTCGAGTTTCAAATAAATATATAAGATCAGATTGAGTAGAAAGTTATCAAATTCAAATCGAATAGAGATACGGAGTATTTGACAAGATTCAATTCAATTACAATCCTGATTACATAATAGTTCAGCCTATGATCTAATGTTTCTATTAATAGTGGCTCGGTGCAATCTAAATTCAGAATATTCTAGTCCAAAGCGGTTGGATTAGAAGTTGAACTAAAGTGTTTATTTATCACGTATCTATATCTTTAATTTTATGTGTAAACACTGGATCATGATGTTACTCATCTAGCACAATTTAATATCACAATTTAATACATTAAGTTTCTTGTGCTCTAATGACATCAGTGTGACACTCTCAATGAGGAGGTCACATGTTTGAATCTCATCTTACTTTAAGGATGTTGACCTTAATCATTGTTCTAAAAATCGCTCTAGGCACCCGACTAGTCCCCGCTTAGACGCTTCGATGTTAGTCTAGGCGCTTCGAGTAATTGGTTTGGCGCATAAGTGAATTAATCGGCCACCTATGAGGCTATGGCGCTTAATTGTCCGTCAAAAGCGCTTAATCGATTGCCTAGAGTGTCATATTTCGTCGATCATTTTTTTGCCTTTTTATTCTGTTTTTCTAAAAGACATATGTACCTTTAACTTTAATCACACATATGAAGAAATGTAATTGTATATTAAGATAAAAAAACTATATGTATTTGTATATATTCTTAAATATTACTCTCTCTGTCCCATAAAATAGTTCTCGCATTGACTTGGATCGGAGTTTAAGAAAATGGGAATAAAGTGGAAATGTATAGTTGTAGTTGACTAAGAAAAAGGTAAATGAATGGTAGCCACAAAAAAAACTTTTCAAAAAGAGAAATGGAAACTATTTTTTGGGACGATCCAAAAAGAAAACCGGGAACTATTTTGTGAGACTGGGGGAGTATTCTTTAATACTAATAGTAGTATTTATTATAAAAGAAGTTAATTGAGTAGTTATAAATTTATAATAGATTATTAAATGTAATTCTATCACTCATGCATGTTAATGTACATGCGTGTGTATTTTTTATACTTATCATACTTATGTGAAAATATTGATAAAATTGTCATTTTTATGTCTCCGATTTGTCTCTAACTCTCTACCTAGGCGTCAGCCCACCTAGCGTCTTTTAGAACATTGGTCTTAACATAGAACGAATACTATAATAGGTTATGAGTTTTGCCAAAAAAGACCTTTAATAGCAAAGAAAAACTGAATTTTATTTGTATACTTCGTAGTTTTTAATGGTGTCATAATATGAGTTGGAATGTAGTACTTGACTAAAACTTGAATTTCCAGCGTACTGGTACAACTCTAAATTCCATGATAGGTTGGGAACTTGAAAATCTACGAACGATATGAGGGTGGAAGGAGTATATCTTTCAGCTTTATTTAGAACAATATACGGAGTATAATACAAGTTCAACAAAGGAGTCAGCAACACCAAACAAACCCCAAATATCAACAACTGAGTTTTTCATCATTCGAGAAACTCTTCCTTTATTCGCTCATTCAGGTGCTGATTTTACGAATACATGATTGAACAATAGAAAAATAAGAACAGACAATCAAGCATCCTGACACAAGATGAGTCAATACAGATATCGACGTTGTGAATTAGCCAAGCACACCAACAGGTGAAGAAGGTCCAGCAATCCGATTCCTGTCAACCATCTCACCACCGCAATGTCCCACACTTAGTGTCACAGGTCCATGACTTCCGGTATCAGAAAGCCCCATATTTCCAGGAGGAACTGCTTCAAGACATTGCTGATCAGTCATATTCTCAGCAAGGGCCACATTTTGGGTCGCAATGTATTTAAGGCGATATCGTTCAGCCCGTGACCCGATTACCTGACCCAGAATTGAGGCTGCAATAGTAAAAGCCATGGCCGCCTTAGGCATCAATATGGATTTACGGAGCATGCCAATAAACGGAACGGCTGCATGGACGGCTGTGAACCATGAAAGAGAAAACTTCTCTGTGTGTTCTCTCCATATTCCCAAGGGAATGTTTGCTGCCATCCCCATGACACCAATCACCAATACCTTTGTGGGCAGAGCTTGCGGCCTGAGATTCTTTGCAAATGCTGTTCGTGATATTGCTGCCCTGGCGGCAACTACGGCGGCAGGGCATTTCAGCTGCATCCCGGAAGGAGGCCGAATCGCTTTTGCCACAAGTGGGATCACTTTACTCACAGCACGAAATGACTTTGCAATTGGACAATTTCCACTTCGCAACCACTCATTGCTCAGTGCTTCATGTTTTGTGTCTCCGCCCTGAAATTTATAAAGAATCAATTGAGAGGAATGTTTATCATAGTCATGACCATGCACTCTGGGTCCCAACACTAAGGGTTTACTTGGTTGGGGGAATTTGGAGGGAAGGAAAGAAGATGTATCTAATTTTTAAATAATTCTTAGATTCTTAGATTTGGATGCTTCAAAATAAATCGGGAATAAAAAAACTATGACTCAGAGGTATATAGAAAATATTAGTCTTAAGAGTTTCAATGAACAAAAATAACTTATTTTTATTTTAGACATGAAAATGAGTTGAATGATATTTGACAAACCACCTATCACTACATATCATTGCTCTCTCTCTCTCTCTCTCCAAAATCTGCCATCTACCTAATAAAATCATGTCACCATCTGCCGAAAACCACTGCTGCCAGTTTAAGGGGTTACCACGACAACAGATTGGGCAGTTTCATTGGCAATGCGGGATTGGGGTGTATCCCGTTTTAATATGAGAAATGTTGTTTGTACACGCCACTACGCCAGTTGTACATGCCATTTTACTGTTTACAAGCCGGGCATTTTGTCTACGCACACACATAATGCCCGGCTATAAAATGGCGTGTACACGAAACTTTTAACATTAAAAGTGACGTATTTAGTTACTTCTTTTTGGAATATTTAAATGTAGTCATATTTCTTCATGAGTTTTTCCTTGGCAATCCAAAATCTTAAAGAAATGATCTAAGTACTTAACTAATAAGTAAATATGTAATTAGATCTAGTCTAAAATGAAGATATAGCGATAAATCAGTACAGTAAAAACCAGTTATCCTCTTCGCCACATTCCTCCATAACTCCTGAACCAAAATGCCCCAAAGCCCCTAAGGTGCAACTTTGGAGGAATATTTTGGCTCGTCACTCTTACCGACTAGAGTTTTCACTTTTCACTGATAACTAACTTATTCGAGTGTTGGCTGAACCGGCGGCTGATAATCAGAAAAGTAGTGCTTGATATACCTTTTGGCTGAAGTTCCAGAAATTAATGAAAATGGTAATTTCATTTTCAGATGTTATATTACTTTTATTTACGAAAACTAGATAAATACATTAGATAATTAAGTGGGTTCAACCAAATCAGTCATTTCAGCCACATTTCACTAGATCCAACCATTATATGTTCTTACCGAACAGTTTTGCAATATAATGCAATAAGATAGATATACTATCTATGCAACATGAAGTTACAAGACACACACACACACACATGGAATATTGGAAACATGTAATTACAGACTCCCAAAATAACACCTAACTCTTGGGTATTAGAAATTGAAGATGTTAGGGATTTATGAGTTACTAGTTACTAGCTTCTCCATTGCAAAGAGAGACATTCCTCATTTCACAAAACCTCATATTTGAGAAAAGATAACTTTTGGTCATTCAACTACAGCTATGCTCTCAGATGGCATACCTAAAACTTCAGATATGCTATCAGCTTTAATCTAATTGGGTATTGACAATTGGGTCATTTGACTTTTAATATTATCTCTAGACATCTCTCTTGTATCTGTCCTTATATGCAATATTCCAATCACACCGTAACTGCAACTCATCTCATTTCCAATGTGTAAATTATGATTTGGGAAGAGCAAAAAATGAGGAAGATAACAGAGACTGAAGAAGGGGAAAAGAAGTACGGAAAAAGTGTGTGATGACAACCAAACAAATTGAAGTCAATAACTTATTTGAGAAAGCCTTTGGGGAGCCAACACAAAACTTTTATTACCACCAATATTTTACTAAAAGGTCTCTTGAGTATACCTGTGGAGGAGAACCATCTTTAGATGATTTAGAGTTCTTCTTTTGACTCTTCCACTTCTTAGAGAATGCATCAAAACCAAAAGGCCCTCCAAGTCCCAAACCTGAGAGGCTGATGGTAGCTGCCCTTGCAGCCAAAGGGTTGAACTGGGTTGATGATGATTTGTCAGACCCTGATTTCTCCTTCTGAATAAGCGATCTCCCTGAAAGTGGGACGACACCATCCTGCCCGTGGAAAAGTCTAAAGGCCATATCAAAATTGGGAGCATCCTCAAATATAGGACCTTTCCCTTCACGTACCTGATAATACACACACACACACTGATGAGAAAAACACCATCCATACACTGCGCTAAGGGTGTGTTTGCATCTAGAAAAACACAACAGAAAATGAAAAAATGCTCGAGGAAAGTCATAGTTTTATGTTTGGATTTACATTAAAAAACAAAAGTGAAAAGAAATATAATGCGTAGTAATATAATTAAACATATATGTAGATAAGTAAAATCAGTTCAAACAATTATCTTTAATATAGTTATTGAATTTGAGCTATTATTTTATTATCCTCCTTATTCTTTTTCTCTAGTTTTCCCCAGATTCCAAAAGGACCCTGCAAGTATTGCAAAAGTTCATAACTTACAGCCATTGGGAATGCCATGGAGCTTGAGAAAGAGAAATTTGTAGGCTCATTAATGTTCCGCAAAAATGGGCACCTCATAATGTCTTGCTGAAAAGGTGAAGAGTTATCATCTAAACAGAAAAGATCCATTCCTTACGCAGAAAGGTGACCTGCACAAAGATGAAAGTTACAAACACGTCAAATGACACAATATATTGCTTTATTGCTTCCATATTAGCTTAAGCTCAATTAAATCAAAAGAGTCATGGGAACAAGGAGGTAGCAAACTGTATCTTTCATTGAAATTAAAATATCAAGACAATTAAGTCAGCAACTAGATGCTTCCTGTTTCATTTCATTATAACCAACTAAATCAACAGAAAATTATATCAGTAGCTTGATCTGATGAGAGATAATCTCTCAAATAAGCAAACGTCATCCAAAGGGTTCTAGGTTATTTAGTTACGTTAATGAATAGGATTCAAGTTTTATTATCTCAAATTAAAAATCAAGTGGATTGTAACATCAAGGACATTAATCCCACTATAACCTGTCATAGAGAGCCTTGCGGAGTATTTACGATAAGAATATAAGGTCGCCACTCGCCAGACAAATCAATACTCCGCATATAATTAGGGTTCTGTTAGCGTGCCTAACTGAAGCAATGTATAATTATCCGATTGTTGATATATGCAATTATACCTGTGCGCGCGCGGAATATGATCAGAATTGGTCGAAACAGGCGGAGAAGGATATCAGAAGCTGAGAAGCTGCCGCGATTGTTCAATTCTGGGTTCTGGGAAAATCTGCATTCATAAAATACTCTTTACGTCAAAAGAAAAAGAAGAAACACTAGATTCAGTTTCCGAAAACGAGGAAAAACGATTTAAAGCCCAAAAGGGGGAAATCAAATGAAGAAAAAAGAAAGATCCGTAAACGGATGGACGTAAACCCTAGAGAATAAAAGACTCAATTTCTTGAAGAAGAGAAAATTACCTTTCGACTGGAGGATGGAGTCCAGAACTTTTGCAGATGCGACTAATAGCGATGAAGAAAGTGGAGAAGGAGCCAAGTCGTCGGCGTGTGGTAGGCAGACTTTCTAACGAACAAGTCCGCGATGTTGATTTTTCAGCGCACCAACTTGTTCCACTTTCTATATTATACTAGGATGTCCGTATTAGACTAGGATGTTTTATGGGCATGAAATTTTGTGGGCCGGTCCGATAACATTTTCAGATCTTGTTATAGTATGATTTTTTAATCTAATTTAGCTTGAAGTTTTATTTTATATTATTCATATATCATACCAGTAATTCGATAATAATTACTCCGTAATTTCTATTCATAATACGGAAAAAATTGATATTCATTTATTATTAAATTAAAAAGAATAAAATTTCTGCCAAATATGGAGCCCGTTTGGTAATAGAAGTGGTTGTATTAAATGATTCTACTGATTTATGAGGAAAAAAATTAAAATATATTTTATTAATAAAATAAAGAAAAAAATATGTGAAAAACTAGTTAAAATGGTTATCTACATTAACTTAATCTAATACAGTCAGAAAAGTAACTTCAACGTTACTTTTTCTTATTATTACGCAACTTAGCGCGCAAAATCAAAAGTTACGTGTTTGGTTAAAAAGTTTACTGATAATCCCGAAAAACAGGGTCACCAAACGGGCTCATAATATGTAATAATATTCACATATATGGAGTACTACAATATGTAATAATTTTGTACTCGGAATCGGAGTAGAACTCTTCCTTATAATTTCAATAAATTTTTGTAACGCTACATAACCCTAATCTTATTCTAAAGTACAGTAATACCAAAACATCTTATTTAAGAAATTAGGACTTTGGTTAAAAAAATACACTAACTGAAATGTGAGTTACAAATCGTCGCCCATGTGGCGCTACTTGGAAGAAATACGAAAGGGTAATTCTAAATACAACCCATTTTTACTAAACACAACCTCATATTTAGATCAGTTTTAAAATGATTAAATTTACAAACTTAACCTTAACCTTGGAATGTTTTCTACACACAGTTACACAGACTCAAACGACACCAAAAGCCATGTTAAAAGAATGCTAAAGTAGGAGAAGAGCAAATTTTGTTTTTGCGAGAAGAGCGGATTTTGACAATATCCTTCCCCTCTTCCTCAACGTGCTTCATCAGATTCAGGAATTCATTGACTGCACCATACGCCTCGATTCCCCGGTGTTTCTCCTTGATATATGACATTGTGTACATTCTCCCCAACAATCATCGTTCGGCCGTCATGGTTCAGCGAATGTTAAAGTATTACTCCATATTTTGTGGGTCAAACCAAAAATCAGAAAATTACAAGGTTTACCGCACCGTCGTAGCCACCATGACGGCGCTCAACTCCTCGAGCGACTTTCGAAGATGGTGGTGCTACATTGTTCTCCTTCTTCATCCATCGGCGGCTCCACACACTACAAAAAAAATATAGGATTGAAACTGAATTTGGTACGAATTTACAAATTTTTTGTTCCAAATAGTTCGTGACAAAGTGTTTTAGACAAGGATTTGGCATATCTTGCCAAAAAGTCCCAACCTTTTTACACTATAATCTCAAACCAACTCTTTTGCAAGTCACTTTCTAAAGTTGTCGGCTTCCAAACCTCAAGTGTTGCCTTTTGAAAGCTTGTCCTCGTCAAACCTCAATTTGGATTATGGTCTATTAGTATTGGTATTGTTCAGTGACAATTTACAATGGAGCTTTGTTTGGACAACAAGGATATATTATGCATGTTATTTATAATTCATTCATTCATTTTAATCAGGGGTTGTGTTTAGTAAAATAGGGGCTCTATTTAGAATTAACCAATATGAAAAGGCAAAGAATGGTAAAAAAGTTGGAGTTCATGGACTCGGAATATAAAATATTCTATTTTCCTTTAAAGAGCTAAAACTTTTCCAATTTTGCTCAAATCTTTTTAAAAACATATTAAAATTGATAACTTAGTATGATTCTTCATATGACATCAATTTGCATATATGAATAAAAAAAATTGAAAGATTATTAAATAACATTTCTATTTTCCAACCTCGATAATGATTATTCCTTATTAAATAAGGAAATAAATCTTAATGTATGATCACAATAAAGATAATAGATAAAACATGACCTGTTAACTTTTAGTGACAATAATTATATCAAAGTAACTATAAAAGTGTACTTATAGTCAATTTAGTTACATTTTTGTACAGAAAATTTAATTTAATATTATTTTAGGAAAAAACTCTTAAAGAGAAAAAATAAATAATTATAGTCACTAAATTGACTATGAGTACACATTTATAGTCACTTTAATATAAAATTTAAATATAACTATAATCACTAAAAGATAACAAGTCACATTTTTATCCATTATACTTATTTTGATCATAAGTTAAGATTATTTCTTTATTTAATATGAAATAATCCCTATCAAGGACTCGACGTGACAAGGTTAGAAAATATAAGTTTGTTTAATAAACTTTCGTAAGTTTTCTAAATTTTATATATATGCAAAATTGGTATCATATGAGGGAGTATAAAAGTTATGACCTTTCATATACTCCGTATTTTTTATCAAAATTGAAACAAAAGTGAAAAAGTTATAACACTATAGAAAAGTTATAAAAGTTATAACACTATAGAAAAAAAATTATATATTGGGCCCCATGAACCACGTCTCTCCTCAAGTGGCTACTTTCCTTTGCTTTCCGTGTTTCTACAAAGTAAATGTTACCAAATTGTTTGACGTTACGTATGTTGTCATGGTGATTTTTGCTAGTCATGTTTTGACTCAATAGTATTTTAGTAATTAATTTTAACCACTAGTTTTGTAAATAATTTTTTCTTTAGAATTATTTTAGAAAAACACTCACCACGTATGTGGTTTTCACCCGAATCTCTCTATAATCTCTCCATGAATGTTTTACACCATCACTTCCTATAATTACACATGAGACATTCGTACATTTATGCATGCACACTTGCCCACCCAACAACGAGGCACGGGTAGTCATCTATCTATCCATGTCGAATTGCTTCCGGTAAAACAAAGCATGCATTTTTTGTATTAATTTACTCGGTATATGTTAATTTATCTATTCAATTATTTGATAGGTTGATCAAATTGTTTGAAAAACATAGTCATACTTAAGTTATAAATAAGTTACTTCAGGTATATTTGGGAGGATTTACATATAGTAATCTGGTGTAATTGCTGAAACTGATTCAATTGAAGCTAATAGTTGAAATGAGTGAGCAATTCTTCACGTTACTTCCCATACAAATTAATGCACACTATTCATGTATGAGTGATCACGTGTAACAATGTTACTTTCAAACATGTGTAATAATTGAAACTAATTAGTCTTTATTAACCGTACTTTTCAACAAATCTACCTTAATAAAATGTGGTTCTGACTTTGTTGGCTAGAGCGGCTGGTTCTTCGTCTGATAGCCATCTTTGGTATTTTTATCCACCTAGTTGTATGATGCCCGCTTTGGACTATGATCTCATGAATGAAAGCTAAATGTGTTTCTTTCAAAAAATGTGATTCTAATAGTTTAGATTATTTCATTCAAAAAAATAGTGTAGATTATTATCTTTTCCATATTTATTATGTCTAATTTCCTATTGAATAACGTGAAAAGACAGAGACAGTTGAAGCAGTAATCCGTGCGCTACGTTAATGAGCCCTGTAAAAACCTGAAGATGCGCTTCACAACAACAAAAAGTATAGTACGTGGAGCATGCATAAACTTGAAAACCAGGTGAATAGGATGTGTAATATCAGGCATAGTCATAGTTAAATATTCTAAATCACCCACTTTTATACCTAGGATTTGCAAGAACATCACTACCGGAAAGAGAAAACTTGACTTGACTAGGAAGAGGCGTGTGTACAGGTTAAAAGTGTGGAGGTGAAAAAGAGACACACATATTTTTGTTAAAAAAGAAAAGACCTTGAAAAATATGCACAACGTGAACGACGAGAAAGAAATGCAAATCTCCTAAATTTTCCATAAAAAAAATATTTCCCAAGTAATATAATTTACTTTCTATTCAAAAATTATGTGTCGATAACAACTATTTTGTGGTATCTGAGTTGTAAGGTTCCAACCCTAGTTTTTATATATTTTTCGTACCATGAATTCCATGGCCGTCTCTCTCTCTCTCTCTCTCTCTCTCTCTCTCTCTCTCTCTCTCTCTACGACAGAGCTGATTACTACCGCCGTCGTGACCCAGGCGGTGTATCCCCACCATCAGTTTGCGTTCCGACTTCATCCTTGTTGTCATAGACCTCTGTGAGTTCACTCTCTTTTCCGACGTCTGAGTGCTCACCGAAGATCTCCGCCTCTTCATTGCTAGGTTTTGGTTCGTGGTCCCACTAATCTTTATGTGGGCTCCGACGTCTCCAACAATGAACGCCATGTCATCCGCCTCATCAATCCTCTCTGCCAACTCCATGGATTTTCTCCTTCCGGTTGGCAGTGCACCCACCGCGGTAGTGCAGTTCGCTAGCCCCACTCTCTTTAACTCTCCAGGACTTTATCTGCCGTGACAGCTAGGGCCCATAGGGCTAGGGGTGGGCAAAAATACCGGAAAATCGGTATACCGCACTTACCGTACCGAAAAATACCGAAAAATACCGGAATATTGGTATACCGTCATTTTCGATATGGTATCATACCGTACCGATTTATTTCGGTACGGTAACGGTAAATGTTTTCAAATACCGCGGTATACCGGTATAATACCATACCGACTCCCTACCCAACAATTATTACTTTTAATTCTAGAATATTGTAAAACTCCATTACAATTATGAAGCCCAAAATTAATACTTACATTGGTTACAAATCTCCAATGACTAATTAGTAATGTACTAATGTCCAAAAACAAGTTAATCTTGTTCCAAAAGCTTGCGAGTTGCGATGACTGGGTCGCTGAGTAGCTGATGAGTGGAGAGAGGTACACTTATGTGACAGGTGTATCTACATAGGGATTCCACGAGTCGAGGCACACAATTTTGTCCGAAAGTCTTATTCATTTTTTTAAAAGAATATAAAATTACTAAATGCACAGTATCATACTACCTCCATCCCAAAATGATTAGTCAAATCCAAAACTTTGATGATTAATATATATTTATCGGAAATTATTTATAATATAAAAAT